GCAGGCGGGTCTCGAACCCATGGGCTCAGGCAATCCACTCACCTCAGCCTCCCAAAGGCTTTTTTTTTTTTTAATCAACAAACCCTCCCTAGGAAGAAAATGCTGGAAGAGACTGTCTAAGTGGGGCTCGCGAGAGGGTGGTCAGGGCCCTGGCGCAACAGCTGGTGCTGCAGGTTCTCTACTTCGTCTCTGGCTCTTCCTACATCGCAGAAGCAGAGCGCCATTTTTTTTTAATGGACAGAAGTTTTACTTTGAAAAAGCGGGGAGAAAATATCAGCCCAGACTCTCCCCCACCACTGAAACAAGAGAGAGAGTGCCGACTCCTGGCTTTGCCTCACCACTGCAGCACCTGGCCAGGGCTGTGGTAAGTTCAAGAGAGGCCCTCCACCACCATCATGAAGGCGGGGCAGGAGAGTGCTCTGACTTGCTCACCATGGAGCAACAGACCCCATCTCTGTGGCTGGCAGATCAACTACTCCGGAGTTGATCATGGCCAAGAGGGAATGCCCTGAGAACACAAACTTAAGAGGGACCTGATGAGGCGCCCCACCCCCTACCCTGATGCAGCTGTGGGACAAAGGGTGTGGCCAGAAAAAGACGAGGAAGAATGCCAAAGAGATCAGTGGTGAGCCCGGAGCTGACCCAAACCCTGTCCTCCTCAGCAATCCTCTGAACGTCAGACACACGCAGCTGGGCCATGACTGAGAGGGACAAACCCAGGCGGAGCCTGGACATGAGTCACAATAGGAGAACTCCATTCCAGGATAGGGCTGGCTGGGGCACCCCTGGCGAGAGTACATACCTGGGGAAGAGACAATTCCACACCTCCCCACCAGAGATCTCCCTGACCATACAAGAGTGGGAGGAGAGGACTATAGTCCCCCCACCTTCACTGCCCCTCCTCCTTCCTTGCTTTGTTCCCTGAGGAGTGAAAGAGGTGGCTCTGCAGGAGAGACCTGATTAGAGGAACAATTACAGAGCCTGCAACAAGAAGGCAAGTTTTTTTTTTTTTTTAATTTTCAATTATTTTTTAATTTTTAAAAATTATTGGCCGGGCTCAGTGGCTCAGCCTGTAATCCCAGCACTTCGGGAGGCTGAGGCGAGTGGATTGCCTGAGTCCGCAAGTTCGAGACCCACCCAGGCAACTTGGTGAGACCTTGTCTCTACAATAAATTTTTTTTTTAAATTAGCCAGGTGTGGTAGTACGCGCCTGTAGTTCTGGCTACCTTGGAAGGCTGAGGCGGAAGGATCACCGGAGTCCAGCAGGTCGAGGCGGCGGTGTCTGGAAGCATGCCACAGCACTCTGTAGTCTGGGCTACAGAGTGAGACCCCAACTCAAAACAAAAAATTCTTTGAATATTTGTTTGTTAGTTCATCTATTTTTAAAATATTTTTCCTTTGTGCATGAATGTGTATGTGAGGGTTTGATCTGCATCCCCCTCCTAAATTTTTTTCTTTTCTTTTTGTTTCTTCTTTTATCATTTTCTGTTTATGTGTGTATGTGAATGACTGAGTGTACATCTTTTGATATTGTTGTTGTTGGTTTTTACTCTTGTTCTTCTGGGGTTTTTTTAAATTCATTTTTTTTGTTTTTGTTTTGTTTTTTGTTTTATTTTTGACTTGGAGCCTCATTCTGTCACCCAGACTGGAGTGCAGGGGCCGCTCCCAGCCACCGCAGCCTCGACCTGCTGGGTGCCAGCAATCCTTCTGCCTCAGCCTTCCAAGTAGCTGGAACTACAGGTGTGTGCTACCACGCCAGCTAATTTTTTGATTTATTGTAGAGATGAAGTCTCACCAAGTTGCCCAGGAGGGTCTCGAACCTGCAGGCTCAGGCAATTCACTCATCTTAGTTTCCCAAAGGCGCAGGATCACAGGCTGAGCCACCAAGCCTGGCTATATTCATTTTTTATAGTTTAAGGTGTGTGTCAATATATGTGTGAGGGTTTGACCTGAATCCTTTTTTTTTTTTAATTTTCCTCCAGTCTTTCTGTTTTTCTTCTCTATTCACTTTGAGCGAGGCGTGTGTGTGTGTGTGTGTGTGTGTGTGTGTGTTTAGTTATCTTGGTTTTTTTTGTTGTTGTTATTTGTTTTGTTTCACTTTGTTGTTATTCTAGTTTGTTTGGGGGGGTGTGTATGTGTTCAGTTGCTTTTGGATTGGTTTCTGCTTTGCATCATCATATAGAGTGGTGGTGGGGAGTGGGTCTCAGGGAACACATACCACAATAAGTGAATATTTTAATTTGCAAGTAATTTCTGATTCCTAGCTCTCTATCCCCTACTTTATTCCAACTTCAAAAACTACAAGAGACAGCAAAGTTTCCCATCTACTGCCCTATTTCAAAACAGAATAAATCCAGAGACTGGATCAGGGAAGAAGAGAGGACTAAGCAAACATCAGAAGGGAAAGCCTCTCCCACTGGCACTGAATAACAGAACTAAAGAGAAAAACAAAAGATCTGTCACAAAGGAGGAAAAAACCAAAGGAAGGCCTCAGGCAATTTCAAGTTTACCAAAGACAAAACTCCTGAAAAATCAGACCTTGGTGTCTAAACAATGGACATCACCAAGGACTGTCCCCAGAATACAACAGGGATTAGGGAATGGAAAGAGTGAATAAGATGCAAGAAAGACAAGATGCAACACTGAAAGAACTTGTAACAGATTTTGGCTAAAAAAGTTCATCCAGGAAATAAACAACAAGATGACAAGCATGGAAAGCAGAATTAATCTAGCTGAAGAAAGAATCTCAGAACTTGAAGACCAGAGCATGGAATTAACCCAGTCTGTAAAAAACATAGAAAGAAGACTCAGAAAGAAAGAACAAAGCCTACAAGATATGTGTGATTATATCAAGAGGCCAAACCTATGCTTGACTGGTATCCCAGAAGAAGAAAAGGAAATGGAGAACACTTGAAGCATGTATTCCAGGAGGTAATCCAAGAAAACTTTCCCCTTCTCACCAGAGATGTGACCAGCCAAGCACAAGAGATACAGAGAATCCCCACAAGACATCAAATGAGAAGACCAACCCCTAGACACATAGTAATTCACCTACACAAGTAGGCACAAAAGAAAAAATCCTAAAGGCAACAAGAGAGAAAAGTCAGACTACCTAGCAAGGAAAACCAATCAGAATAGCAGCAGGCCTGTTGTTAGAAACACTACAAGCAAGAAGGGACTGGAGCCCTATATTCAAAGTCCTCAAAGAAAAACAATTTCAACCAAGAATTTCCTATCCAGCCAAGCTCAGCTTCATCAGTAATGGAGAATTCAAATCCTTCCCAGACATCCAATCCCTAAGAGATTGTGTAGCTTCCAGACCAGCTCTACAGGAGACACTTAAAAAGGTATCAAGCACAGAAGAACGAAAAAAAGAATGACCACACACTTCCCAAGAGAACAGCAGAGCATAGAATCAACAGAGAATACAGCACAACAAGAAACTTGAAAACACACACATACAACAACCCCAAAGCCAAAAGAAAACAAGCAAACAAAGAAAAAACTTTATAAGAACCTCATGACAGGGAGAAACAATCACATTTCAATAATCAGCCTGAATGTGAATGGACTAAATGCGCCACTGAAAAGACAAAGAATGGCAAACTGGATAAGAAACCATGACCCAATTATTTGCTGCATCCAGAAGACTCATCTCACCACACAGGTCACACACAGACTCAAACTTAAAGGATGGAAAACGAGTTTCCAGGCAAATGGATCATAAAAGAAGGCAGGAGTTGCGATTTTAATATTAGACAAAACAACCTTTAAACTAACAAAAATTTTAAAAGATGCAAAAGGACACTACATAATGATAAAAGGTACAATCCATCAACAAGAAATATCCATCCAAAACATATATGTACCCAACACAGGAATATCAGCATTTATAAAGCAACTACTAAATAAACTAAAAAAAGATATTGACTCTAACACTGTTATAACAGGGGACTTGAATATCCCACTGACAGCCCTAGAGAGATCATTGAGGCAAAAAATCAACAAGGAGATCCAGAACCTAAACTTAACACTCAACCAAATGGATTTAATAGATACCTACAGATCATTCCACCCAACAACCAGAGAATATACATTCTACTCTTCACTACATGGCACATACTCCAAGATTAATCACATCCTTGGCCATAAATCAAGCATAAACAAATTCCATAAGGTTGAAAT